AAAATTGTTATAAATGTATCGATCTCCAATGTGTTGTCTGTTCAAAAGGATATCTATTGACGACTAGCAATGAATGCAAAACAAAAGAATTTTTAAATTGCGAAATAATCTTTGCAAATAAATGTTTAAAGTGTTTGCCATTGTATATAAGAGTTGATGAAAATGTGGCTGATATAAATTACTGCGAAAAAATTGGCAATAGCATCAAACACGCAACAAAGTCCTTCATTTTTAATACAATTGATATTAATGAATGTATTATGAACACGTTTTTAGCACATAATAATTGTGAAAACATTAATTCCAAACTTTTTCAAAAAAACATAGATGAGGATGGTTGTCGAATTAAATCGACCAAAGGGTGTATTTCATGTTTATATGGTTATTATTTAAGCAACAAAACGTGTCTTAAATGCGAAAACAAATGTACTAAATGTTACAATTCAACATATTGTTTATCATGTAAAGATGAATTGGAATTTTTGAATAAAGACAATAATTGTGAACTCACAAAAGACTTTTTTAAAAAGTGCAAAAAAGAAATGCCAAATATGGTTGGGTGTGCACTTTGCAAAGAGGGGTATTACAGAGAACAAAGTGATTGTGTTGCTTGTGACTCCACGTGTGCGGTGTGTAAAGATAAAATTTCGTGTATTACATGTAAATCAAATTATTTCTTGATTCCTTCAGAACAATTACTTTGTCAAAGTTATACAAGCCTTGTCGGTTGTTCAGATAAGACGCAATTCGGTTGTGAGCGATGTGAAGAGGGGTATTACTTGGACCCCTATATATCTCGGTGCAAAACATGTATTGAAAATTGTTCAGAGTGTATTGACCAATTGTCATGCAATGCATGCAAAAAAGACAATATATATGTCAACAAAAAATGTGTATATTACACTCAAATCAAGTATTGTATTACAGCGTTTAATAATGAATGTTCCAAGTGTAGCAAAGGTAAACAACTCAGTGATGATAGAAAATCATGTGAAGACATGCCAAACACAGTTTTAATAACAAGTCTATCAGTCACTTTTGTAGTAATAGTTATTATTATAGGTACCATGTTATTATTGACATTATACTACTTGTACATCCACTTTGGAACCAAAAAGAAGATGCAGAATATTTGTGTATTCAAAATGAAGCGATCAAATGTTGCGTTTTATGATATGAACGAATGGCTTGTTTCCAACAAGAAGACGCTTGTTTTTGCTGTTGACGACAATGAAAACGGTGATATTCCAGTTGGTAAAGAAACACGTGAGTTGTTGTGTGTTGGAAACAAGTCAAAAAATTCAATTAAAATTCAGTTTAGTGTTTTAAACGGATGTGAAAATTACAACATCAAAACGGAGCCAAGTTTGGTGAATTTACAAAGTGGAGAAGCATGTGAATTTGAAATGTTTTTGACACCTATTTGTTCGTGCAACATCGATGATAAAATCACATGTGTCGGTCTTGATATTCAAAAAGGTTTACAAATGATCCAACAAATTCAAATAAGTGCAAAAACCCAAATGACAACACATCTTGATTACCATGAGTTACAGGAAGAAAAACGACTTGGTGAAGGATCGTTTGGAATTGTGTATTTAGGTGAATTCAGAGGATACAAAGTTGCAATTAAGAAAATGAAAGAGGGGTGTGATGATGAAATTAAAATCACAGAATTTGAAAAAGAAGTGTTAATGTTAGACAAATTCAGATGTGACTATTTGGTCCACTTCTATGGCGCCGTTTTTATACCAAACAAGATATGTATAGTTACCGAATTTGCTCAATACGGAAGTTTAAACGACTTAATAAAAAACAGAATAGAAACTACAATACAGAAAGAAATTAAAATTAAATTCATGAAAGATATGGCGAATGGGTTGCTTTATTTACACACAAATGGTGTTGTTCACAGAGACATCAAACCAGACAATTTGCTAGTGTTTTCACTCGATTTGGATACCAAAGTGAATGCAAAATTGACTGATTTTGGGAGTGCAAGAAATATCAATTTAATGATGACTAACATGACATTCACCAAAGGTGTTGGAACACCAGTTTATATGGCTCCCGAAGTGTTGAAAAAAGAAAAGTACAAGAAGAGTGCCGATATTTATTCGTTTGGAGTAACTATGTATGAAACGTTGAAGTGGGGAGATGCGTACGATAAAAACATGTTCAAGTTCCCATGGAAAATTGCGGAGTTTGTGATATCGGGTAAACGACTTGAGAAAAATGAAAATATGAGTGAAGGTCAATTTGAATTGATACAAAGATGCTGGAGCCAAAAACCAGAAGACAGACCATTCATTGATGTAATTGTCAAGAAGTTAAAGATTAATTAAACATCATTTGATTTTTTAATATTTTATTTTTTTCAAATTGCATTCGGCAATATCCTCGTTTGATCCATCCAATACTACAATAACACATTATTTATTATTTAACCATATTAATATCACCAATGTTTTTGCAATTCACATTGGCACCCCATCTGTAATTATTGAAATGAATTTACTTTGGCTATAATTTAATTTATCTATTATAATTATTTTTTTATGAATATTGTTATACTTGTTAATTTGGCTTTTAGTGTTTGACAATCATTATTTACAGTAGGGAAAATGAACCTTAGCCCAGGAAATGTACTTTATCCCAAAGAAATTCCTGTATTTTTCTTTAAAAACACGGGTTTTTACCAAAAAAACAAATATTTGAGAAAAATGACTTATATATAAGTATAGTTTATTATTTTAATATAATAATAGAAAATAATTGGTTTTTTTTTGGCAAAGGTTAATTTGCTGGGAGAAGGTTGAATGGACCAACTGTATATGTTTATTTTGTATTTTTAAAAAAATTATGTTGTTTTTTGTCAATTTCATATTGAACAAATTGATTCAAAAAAATATTTTCTCAATTTAAAAACATTTTAGTTCCTTATTATGGTTTTCCAAAAATTAAAATTGCCGAATTAAAATTTCAAAATCCAAATTTGGAATAAATCAACCAAATCATAGCAAAAACTATTTTATTCTACTATTATTTTTTTGCCAAAATCGAACAAGAAAATACCAGTTTGATCTCTAAATACCGAAAAGCAAAAATTGGAGACCCTGTACACCATCATAATTATTAATATAGTTCGATATATTAATATTTACTTTTGAAAATATCAATATAATAAATGATTTTTATCATAAATAACATTGACCTAATATAACAAAATAATATAATGATATTTATTTTGAAATTAATTCAATTTATAATAACTACTTAGTAAAATAAAGTTCATTTAAAAAAATAATAATCATTTTTTGTGTATTTATAATGCTTCATACATCTCTTTTACAAACATGCAAGTCGTCGCCAACAGTGGTGCTAGCGCACAAAATCTTCAAAATGTTCCTATTGTCCCTCTTAACAGTGTTCCCCCAACGGCTCAAAGAGAGGTATTGCCAACTACAATCAACGAGTTGTTACGTTTTGAACACGTAGCAAATTTGACACCAGGAAGACAGTATAGAATGGCAAGAAACAACAGAGAGTACACAGTTGTTGCTGTAACTGGTAATACAGTGACACTTCCAGGACTGAACGCCATTCATCGAGGTGAAAGATGGGAAAGTGGCTGGGACTTTGGTTACCAATTATGATATAATTATGGAGGTAATCCAATGACATGCACTTTTGATCCAGAGGGATTCTACATCACACCAAATCAGAATACGGTGTACAATAACACTTGGAACGAAAGAAGTTGTGGTCATGGTATTTTACAAAAACGTAAAACATACACTAAAAGTGACATTGAAGTAATTCAAGTGAATTTGAATAACGCTCAAATTTGTTTAGGGACAAACACTGGAAACGCAGCTAAAAGAAGTAGTACTCCCCAACGCATCGAATTCACATCAAATGGAGGAACATGCACAATTGGAAACATAAATTTGAATTTTATTTAAAATAAAATTGAAATTTTATTACATTTTTGTTTTTTAACAAACTAAAAAACACACTGAAAACAAAAACGTTGTTTTAATAAAAAAAAGTATTTTTTTACTATCTTATATTATGTCCTTCTTGTTTTTATTAAAAATTATTGCAAAAAATACAATAAAAAGCATTTATTTGTTGTTTTTAAACAAAAAAAAATATTAATTTGTGGGTTTATTAAGGAATTATGTAGTAAATACTTTTTACTTTTTTTATACAGGCAGTGAAGTGAAGGTATAAATTTTCAATTAAATACTAAATAAAAGGGTTTTCTTATCACGAAATATTTTATTTTGATTGGCTGAAATTGTCATTCTCAATAAAACCCTTATTTAACAAGCCGAATTTGTCCTTATTATTATAATAAATATTGACATTTTGATTATCTTGTTACCATTTTGTTTGTTTGGAAATTATATTTTATAGTTATTTTAATTGTTTATAAACTATCGAAAAACAACAATCACACATAAACCAAGAAGCGAATAAACCAATAAAAAACCATCACTTAACTAAACTTGGCAACAAAGCAAACTTCACAAATCCTGCTTCGTCACAACTCAAACAGTTGATAAGTGTGTTTGTTTTTGCAAGCTCGCCCAATAGCCAATAACCACACTCGCAACTTACCATTAATTAAAGATCTAAAAGATGATGAAATAAAATTTAATATTTGAATATTTATGTAATAAGTGATAAATAATGACAAAATAACAATAACAAACGTGTAAAATGACACCGTTAAAATATTAAATCTTTGTTTACTTGTTTGACAAGAGTCAATGCTTGGTGTTTGCCTTTTTCTTCTTTCGACTTCAATTTATTTTTTAAGTTCGTTCAATTTTATTTTTCAACTTATTTTTCAGCAAAGTCGAATTAAAAATAATCTAAAAATGTATCTAAATTTTTTTAAAATATTTTTTTAGTTTTATTGATCAAAAATTTAAACCCGAAAAAACAGTAAAAATATGACGTAAAATTGTTGTATTATTCTCAAAACCCTTTTATTTAGTATTTAATTGGAAATTTATACCTTCACTTTACTGCCTGTACACAAAAAATAAAAGATTTTAAAGTTAGAGTGTTTTAATTATTGAAAATTATATTTTTTTTATTTAAATGAACCTAAAATCAGGGTTTCAGAGCAAAAAAAAATTATTAAACGGTTTTGCATATAATTGGCCCATCAACCCTTTAATGGATGCTTTTTTCTGTAAAGGATATTATTCAATTTTAGAATAATAATAAAAAACAAATTATTCTCAATTTTAATTGTTAAAACTGTTTTTGTTGTAAAATTCAAATTTAATTTTCAATTTCGAATTGATTTCAATGTTGATTAAAAATTTCAAACAATAGTTGACGTTGTTTTGTCATTGTTTTGCCAATAAATCTTTTATTTTGATAAAATTTTTATTAATTGATAAATATTTTATAATAATATTTGTTTGTAAATATTGTAACATAAAATCTTTTATTCTCAAATATAAAGAATTTATTAAATAATATATTATTTGTATAATTTATTTTTTTAAAGCGGTATTTTTAATATATATACAATAAAAAAACTTGTAATTTTATTCAATGGTTATATTCATTGTCGTGTTTTAATTATTATGTAAATCATCTATTAATAAATGTAAAATGGTGTAAGTATGCTGATAAAATTGAGTGTGTTTCACTTGGCGAAAAATGTGAACATGATTTTCAATGGAGTTTATCAACAACAAAAATTCAGTTGCCTTTAGTTGATGATGGTTTTATAATTAAATGTAAATCAAACACACGACTAGAGGTTACTATTAATTCAAAATACAATACGGTGTTAAAATTTAATATTTATAAAAATATATTCACACACTCCAAACAGTATAACAATTTCACATTAGTTCCACTTTATTTATATAATCAAACAAACTCTTTAAAACCAAAATAATGTTTAAAACTTCTTGTTCAAATTGTAAGCGATGTATGTTAACCACATCTCGTGTGGAATGTAATGATGGGTATTATTTATTAAACAATTCGTGTTATTCATGTCATACAAATTGCAAAACGTGTTATGATGATACATATTTTTGGTTGGTATACTTGTCAAGAAAACTACTACTTAACACAAAAAACAAAATGCCTTCTCTGTTCTTATTCCTGTATAACTTGTTATTATGGAACATCAGGTGATTGTTTTAATTGTAACAGTGGCTATTACATGTCCAATTTGAGCACCTGTTCGACTTGTCATAGTTGGTGTTCAACTTGTTATGGTGGTTCAAATACCCAGTGTTTTACTTGTAAAACTGGGTATTTTTTACAAGGTACAAACACATGTTTGCAATGTGACTCAACCTGTTCAATGTGTTCTGGATCTCTAACAACCTGTTTAACATGTAAATGTTATTATTATTTGTCTGGTAACACATGTATCAAATGTGATTCATCGTGTGGAACTTGTAATGGTACAAACCCGAACAATTGTATATCATGCTTGTCCAATTATGTTTTATCAAATGGCTATTGTTTCAAGTGTGATTCATCGTGTTATACTTGTAATGGTCCTGAGCCAAATAACTGCTTGTCTTGTTTACATTCAATAAGTACGTCTAATGGATATTGTTTAAAGTGTGATTATCCATGTTTTAGATGTGAAGGTATTGTTTCAAACGACTGTATAGATTGTTTTATTCATATCTATTTAAAAGATAATTAATGTTTTACATGTGACTTATCTTGTGAAACTTGTGATGGACCAAATGTCAATAATTGAAAATCATGTTCTAATAATTATGTATTTTCAAATGGGTTTAGTATACAATGCAGTTCAAATTGCAAAACATGTAATGAAAACCCCAAACATTTTGCTTAAAATGCGATAATGGGTATTATTTATCAAATGGGTTATGTTTTGAATGTGGTCCGAATTGTAATAGTTGCAGTAATAATATTTCAAACAATTGTGATAATTGTGATAATGGGTTTTATTTATTAGATGGAGTGTGTGTTTAATGTCCTTTAAATTGTAACACTTGTAAAGGTTCAATTTGTATAACTTGTGATTCGAATTTTTATTTATCAAACGGTTCTTGTAAACCTTGTGATTTAATTTGTTCCACGTGTTCGGGTTCTTCTTCAAACTGTTTAAATCGTAGTCCTGGAATTTCATATCTCGGCTTAAATGGATTGTGTTTATTATGTAACGAATCTTGCAAAAATTGTTACTCAAATGGAACATGTTATAAGTATCAAACAAATTTTGTATTTGAAGAGACAAAGAGTAAAGTGTGTGTCACCTGCAAAACTTTTGATCTGAATTGCAAAACGTGCAAATCAGACTACACGCGAAAATGTGTTGATTGTGAAAATGGGTATTCTCCGAACGACTCTGGTGTATGTGTGCCTTGCAATACCATTGATACAAATTGCAAAACGTGCAATTCAAGAATAAAAGAGTGTTTGACATATAATGACCCGTATTACTTATCCAGTCAGAAGTGTGTGAGTTGTCCTTCTGGCAGTTACAAAAACACTGAAACTTCTTGTGAACAGTGTTACAATGATCTGCCCAATTGCCAAACATGTTCAACTCAATACATTGGTGTTCCTGTGTCTACTTCATGCTATTCTCCACATGTCTTAGCTTCTCAAACGAAAACGTGTGTGGGTTGCACATCTTCTCAAAAATACAACAAAATGACACAAAAGTGCGACAGCAATGCTACTGGCTGTTTGACAGGATTGACCAATCAGCAGTGTTTACGATGTGATGGGTTGTATTATTTTTCTGAATTAAAATGTGTTGTAACAACCAATTGTAACACCCCATCAACAATATCAAAAGTGCCACGTGATTGTGCACATCAGATATCAGTGAACTTTGATTGCAAGACCAAAGTTTCAAATTGCAAATACCAAAGAAATTACAAAACCCAAAGTGAGTGTATTCACTGTGATGACAATTATTTACTTAATGGAGTGACTTGTCAGAAGGTAGCAAGTGGTAATACAATGAGGAACGATGTGGTCTATAAATGTAACAATGACAATTATCTTGGATATAGCAATCAATGTAATGTATGTAATAACAACGCTTCTGTATGTGTCGATTACAACAATGTCATTGAAATAATCGCATGCAAACAACAATATACATATGATGTGAAAATAAAAAAAATGTGTCAATGACATTTCTTATTCGAAATATTCAAACGATTTCTGTTTAAAATGTGTTGATGATGACATGGAAATGCACAAAGGCAAGAGTGTAACTTGTTCAGTTCCAAATTGTAAAAATTGTGAGGGTGGCAAATGTAAAAAGTGTCAAGAGAATTATGTGATTCAAACAAATGGATTTTGTGTTGAGAAAAGTGAAGTGAGTTGTGTCAATAGTGATGGTCTGCGTTGTTTAAAGTGCACTGAAAATTTCTGTCCAACCGACTCAATTAACAAAGAAGGGAAGTATGACTACTGTTTGCCACTTTCTTTATCTCAAATAGCCGACTGTAAATACTCACTGATTTCACAATCAATGTGCATTAAATGTTTGGACACATTCAAAATGAAAAACGGAAACTGTTCAGAAATTTTTGATGATATTGATGACGATGAAAACAATGTTACTAACACCAAACAAAACTTGAAAGGTGCAGAAATATCATGTTTCACTCGAAATAACAAAGGGTGTGAGAGATGTATTTCTGGTTATTATAACATTAACAGCGAATGTGAGTTGTGTTCGAATCACCGTGATAATTGTTACAACATAACATATTGCTTGACATGTGATCCACAGTATTACCTGACATCCACATTTATATATAAACCACTTGGCGATTTGTTTACAAAATGTGAATTGACTCTACCAACGGGTGTTGGATGTGCAATTTGCAAAGACAAATATTACAAAAGAGAAACTGATTGCATTTCTTGTGATGAGTTGTGTGGTACTTGTGTTGATGGTAAGTTGTGTTTAACTTGTAAAATTGAATATTTTAAACTATCTGGAATGGAAAATAAATACTGTTTATCATACGACAATTTGACTAACTGTGTAACAAAAACGTCAATTGGTTTTTTACAATGTGAAAATGGCTATTACTAGGATAATTACATTTGCAGAAAATGTTCTGAAAACTGCATCTCGTGTGACAATGCACAAAGTTGCAACATGTGTGTTGAAAGGGATTTTGTCTTGGTTAATTCACAATGTGTGGATTACAAAGAAGTTGAATACTGTAAATCTGCTAACGACTCGAAATGTATTGAATGTGAAAAGAATTAAAAACCAAGTGACGCTGGTGATTACTGTGTCAAAGTGACGAATTATGGGTTGGTAGTTGGAGTACCGATTTCAATCACATTAATAATTATCGTATTATTTGTTGTGATAATAATAATATTGATAACTATGATACAAAAGAAAAAAAAAGCCAAAAAGAGCAAAACATTTGCAATTTCAAAATGAGTCGGTCAAACATTGAGATGATGAAATTAAGTGAAAATTTGGTCTCAAACAAGACAACACTGAAATTTGATTTGGATAACAACGAATTAATTAAAGTGGACAAAGAAACAAGAGATTTGGTATGTGTTGGAAACAATTCTAAAAACAACTTGAAGGTACAATTCAGTGTGATGAATGGGTGCGATTACTATGAAATAAGAACAGTACCTTCCATCGTGTCTCTCAAGCCTGGATATGCTTGCGAATTTGAAATATTTATCAAGCCGTTGTGTACTTGTTCTACAAAGGAGGATGTGATGATTACTTCATTGAATCTAACGACAGGAACAATTGAAAACGCAAAAATACAAATTGAAATGGAGACCGAACAAACAACTAAATTGAATTACAGAGAACTTGAAGAAGATGAGAAACTTGGTGAAGGTTCGTTTGGAATTGTTTACAAAGGAAATACAAAGTAAATAAAGTTGCCATTAAAAAGATGAAACAACTTATTGACAATGAAAGTGGACTTGAAGAATTTACAAAGGAAGTTTCTATGTTAGACAAATTCCGGAGTGATTATATCATCTATTTTTATGGTGCGGTATTCATACCCAGTAAGGTGTGTATGGCCACTGAATTTGCAGCTTTTGGGTCACTTCAAGACGTGATCAAACACAAGAAGAGTGATGAAGTAGTTATGAAGTTGCGAATCAAATTTTTACTTGATGGCGCAAAAGGTATTCAGTATTTACATGAAAATGGTATTTTACATAGAGACATCAAACCAGACAACTTGCTTGTGTTATCACTTGAAACAAACGAAAAAGCAAATGCAAAATTGACTGATTTTGGATCTTCGAGAAATGTGAATATGCTGCAAACGAATATGGCATTCACTTAAGGTGTTGGAACACCATGATATATGGCTCCTGAAATATTAAACAAAGAGCATTACAAGAAACCAGCTGATGTTTATTCGTTTGCAATTACAATGTTTGAAGTGTTTATTATGGGGTGAAGCTTTTCCTAAAAACATTTACGTGTTTCCGTGGAGTATTGCAGAAGAAAGTGCTGCTGGGAAAAGACCAATAACAATAAAAACACTCAATGAAAAATACCAAGGTATCATCGAAAAATGTTGGATACAAGAACCTCAAAAAAGGTGTTCGATAAGTGAAGCAATTGATCAACTCAAAACAATTATTTAATGACTTTTTTCATATTTTTTATTGTGGTGTTTATCTATAATTTGTTTTTTTCTTTTTTATATTTACACACAACCTTAATTAACAAGTAATGATTTTTAACCCATAAAAGTATTTGTGTACACTAGTCATAAATTAAAAACTCTTATATATTTTAAATTGACTCGAGTGTTTAGAATTGTTTGTTAATTGGGTCATATATAGGTGTTTGTCTTGTTGTTAATTTGGCTTCCTATTTGCACAATTTTTATTTATTGTTTTTTTTGAGTTGCATAATTAAACAGTCTTTTGTTTACCCAAATTTTGGAGCAAAAGAGTCTTTGAATCACATGAATTGACTTGTCTCATTATTTTCGTTTTTATAAACGAGATGTTTAATATATGCGCAATCCAAAATCGATAAACAAAACTATTTTTTTCGTTCTGTACAACAATTAGAATTTTAGAATTATAATGATTTTCATTCGAACAAGCAGTTAAATTTATCATTTAATTATCGAATTGTATTTTATCTTGATTTATAACTTGATTCTACTTTTGTTTTTATTTTTGTTATAATTCAAAAAAGTTTTAATTTTGTTGTGAGTGAAAAACAAAGAAGATATAAAGTCGCACACTTATTAGGATTGACTCAAATAAAAATTAACAATAAGTCAAGCCCCTCACTCCTTTAATTAATTTCTTTAAAAATCAAATTTTATATTCAATCTATATTAAAACTGATTTCAAAATATTTTTAATTATTATTTTAAAATTTGATATATAATCTAGTTCTATTATTAATAATTTGATTTAAAACATCACGCAATTTGACAAATTAAAAACTTCAAAAATCATATAATGGATATTGATAATTGCATTTCACAACTACGTCGTGGTGAATTACTACCAGATCACACAATACTTGAACTTTGTTTTTTCTCCAAGTCACTTCTTTCCCGTGAGCCAAACGTTTTAACTTTAAAATCGCCAGTTACTGTATGTGGTAACATTCAAGGACAATTCCATGACCTTCTTAACATTTTTTCACTCGGTGGCTTTCCGCCCAGCACGCAATATTTATTTCTTGGAAATTATGTTGGCAAAGGGATATATAATGTAGAAGTTGTTTCTCTTCTTCTTTTGTTCAAATTGAAATATCCCGACAAAATTCATCTAATAAGAGGAAACTTTGACACAATGATGTTGTCACAATTATACGGATTTTACGATGAGTGTATCAGAAAATATGGATCTCCACGTGTGTGGACACTTTTCACTGACGTTTTCAATTACCTTCCAGTCACTGCTGTAATAAACGAGACGATGTTTTGTGTGCACGCGGGCATTTCACAACACTTGCGAACGATCGACCAAATAAGTTTTTGTATATCGAGAAATTGTGAAATAACTTCTGAGAGTCTGATGGCCGATTTGGTGTGGTCTGACCCCAATGAAAATATTGAATATATCGCTTCAAATAATAAAGGAGCAGGTCATTATTTTGGAGAGAAATTGGTCGACATTTTTTGTCATGTTAATAATTTGAATATAATAACACGAGCTCACCAAATCCAAATGGAAGGGTTTCAGTTTGTATTTAACAAGAAAGTGGTGACATTATGGTCCGCACCTAATTATGGGGGAAGATGTGGAAATCTTGCTGCTATAATGAAAGTGGACGAACATACTAACAAAGACTTTATTGTGTTTGGAGAACTTGAAAATAATTGATTTGTTTGTTTAATATTGTTTTGAGTTTTAAGTTTTAAGAATTTACGGGCAGTGAAGTGAAGGTATAAATTTTCAATTAAATACTAAATAAAAGGGTTTTCTTATCACGAAATATTTTATTTTGATTGGCTGAAATTGTCATTCTCAATAAAACCCTTATTTAACAAGCCGAATTTGTCCTTATTATTATAATAAATATTGACATTTTGATTATCTTGTTACCATTTTGTTTGTTTGGAAATTATTTTTTATAGTTATTTTAATTGTTTATAAACTATAGAAAAACGAACGATTAAATGTTACTTTAAAATATTAA